AGGTGTAATCTTCATTAAATATTTTAAATTTTTGAAACGTTTTTACAAGTTGGGATGGGTGGTTTCGAGGGCGATGTAATCTAGAGAAAAGTTTTCAAAATTTGAGTTTTTTTTATAGGTGTGGGATCCGTGGGGTGGGATATTATTAATTGATATATTATTAATTTGGTGGGAGTAAGTGGGTTGGGTTGGGTTGGGTTGGGTGGGGTGGGGATAATTAATTCCAATTAATTATATATTATATATATTATTAATTGAAATTAACATTTGTGTTTTTGAAATAATTTGACAAGTTCTTTAATTTTGAAATGTAATTCTTATGCATAGGATTGATGTATTGTTCCCTTCAAATAATGATATTTAAATCCTAGCTTAACATGCTTTTAGTAGTTAATTATCGTGTCAATATTTACATATCGGACACAAGAAACAAATGTTTTACATTACTTAAACATCTAATGCTCTTTATTATTAATACTTTAGCATATGATGGTAAAATTTGGTATTCGGACCCACCCTGCATTGCCCATTTGTCCTGACTCGAGACGGGACGGGGACGAAGACAGGGTCATGGTCCCAGTCCCAAATTTTCCGAATCCGTTTCGAATTATTTTATTTGATTTGTTATGATTTTCAATTTTAAAAATAAATAATAATGTTAAAAATTAATTAATTAATTAGGTAAACGAGATGATAAATGAATTTTTTTAATTCCCCACCTCGCTATTGCCCCAGTTCCTGAAAATTTTCGACAGGATGGAGATGATAATGATTGTCCTCGATCTCGGTTCACCATATTGCCATTCCTACGACGTAACCATTTTTAGCAAGTTCTTAACTAGAAAATGCTCGTAGTTAACGGATTGAAGGGTGATGCAACTTATTGAAAGAAAATAAGGCTTTCTTGTTTGAATTATGTTAGATGTACACCCGATGATTTACATAATGGATTACACCCTCCTCACATGGAGGGGGACCCACAAATATTTTATTGTGTATGGGGCCCCCCTCCATGTGAGGGGGGTGTAATCCATTGTGTAACTTATCGTGTACATCTAGCATAACTCTTGTTGTTTATTCCTTTCATTTTTTGTAGCTTCCCATACTATAGTCAGAGAGGGAATTTGCTAAAATGCATAGAATACAAGAAATATTATTTAGCCCTTGTTCGAACCACATTTTGAGAGAAAAAATGTATTTTTGATTAGTAATTTTTGGAGAATGTACGGTTGAAAATGAAGAAAAAGTTTTAAATTTACTTATAATATTTTTTTAATGGAAAATGTGTGGTTGATGAAAATGAATTTTTGATAAAATGTGGCTCAAACAAGAACTTACTCTTTTCTTTTAATGGAACCACTACTCATGACCCCTATTGAATCGCCCAAAGTCATTGTGGGCCGAAATCCCATTCGGTCCTCTTTAACATTTCTTTAAGGTAACTGCCAACATGCCTGTCTGGGTGGTGTAGTCGGTTATCACGCTAGTCTCACACACTAGAGGTCCCCGGTTCGAACCCGGGCTCAGACATCCGTATTTTTATGTTTTTATATATATTCAAAGGGCTTCAAATTTGCCACAATTATGCAACATTTTTTTTTTACAATTATGCAACATATGTTCATATTTCAAACATAAATAAAACTAAAAAAATGAGAAAGGAGAAATCTTCAATTGGCTCATCACTCAACTTATAATCATGCTTTTAATTGGTCCTTAAACTTTAAAATTCCAATATTTAATCAAAACGTTTTTACTGTATTAGCCTCCGAAATCGATTGCGTGAGTTTAAACGAACATTAGATCATTGAATGCTTATTCAACATAACCATAGACGTTAATTGTCCAACTAGGACCCTTAGAGCAATTGTTATAGAATTTTAAACGATAATATATTCGTTATACAATATTCGGTCTTTAAAAATCTGACATGAATTGACTTCCCGTCTCTAATTTATGCATAGTTTATTACTTTAATACCCATTTATAAAAATTTCACCTACATTCTACACCATAGTACAAATGGTATTTTTGGTAATATCTTACATGTAGCCTCAGTCAATTATGATAGTTGTCTAACACTATATACTGTATAATGGTTGAATTTCTGATAAAGATTTGGTAAAAAGAACTCCCAGCACTAGATTTT